GAATGTTAATCAACAAGGGTGAGCGGAAAGGGGTGAACGAGTGTCAGATTAGAATAAACACCACATCCAGAGGCTTATTAGACCCACATTTAATTGGACTTAATCTTGAAATATCTTATATGGCTCTCACTGAAATATATTCCTAAATATTTGCATCGATGGCTCTCCGAGTCAACAAGGTTGCCGACCCCTGCCCTATAGTATCGGTACTGCTCAGATCCACTCTGTAATGGTCAATCCGTTTAATGATCAACGTGGCACCTTCATAATGAAATTTTCACAGCTTTTTTGTTTAGTGTTCGTTCATTGCTGTGGTATTCGCTGACTTAGCATGATTGCCTGGCTTATTGTGAACATTCCCTGCCTATTTTATTATTCTTCTAGTATATCTATGCGTTAAAAGTTACGCCTATTGAGAAAATGTCCCGCACTGAACTCGTCGCCCAACCGCCGGACGCCACAGAAAATCCCTATTGGGACCAGCTGAAGAAAGCGGCCAAACCGCCCCCAAAGGAAACGGTAAGCCTAATACCTGTCGACTCGCACTCTCACTGTGAACCAATGCTTTGCAAGATGGCGACTTTCTTTCAGTTTTTGATATCTAGTTGATGCTATCTTGTTTCTCCTGTCGAATAATCCCTATTCGTGTCGGTTGTTTCTCAATCATAGGAGGTTCAGACAGAACAGTACTTTTACGCCATTCCGGCTAAGCGGTCGTTAAAAAGGGAAGATGATGGAAGACGAAAGAGCTGGAAACTTCGGAAGTTCGCTGACGGTACACCGGGCGATGATACGGATGACAAATCTGCTCTTGCTAACAATCCTCCAGTTCGAAGTAAGTTTTCTTTCGTCATTTTCCGTCGAGGTATGTACTACAGCTACGGTGCGTCTATCGTGGGTTTCATGAATATCGAAACTGTCAGCATTAATTATGACATAGAGACTAATCTGTCAGATAGTACGTCGTAGAGGTTTATTTATTTTTATTCGGCCGCTTGTGGCATCTTGTTTCGTCTCCTAGTGGAAACTACCTGCGCCTTTCAGCTTCATTCTTTGCATTTTCGTTTGTAATACTTACGAAATATTTAAACTTTAGGGAAGTGTCCTTTATGCAGTCTTCTGCTGAAACCAGAATTTCCGTAATGTATATGCTTTTTGTCAAAATATATCTTCAGTGAGACTTAGGGTGTCAGTGCCTAATAAATATAACTGTAGTTTAAATAACGGTATTTAGGTTTAATCTGCAGTACAATTTTGAACTGTCCGTACCCTTCGCAATTTAATTCACGAATTATGACTAAAGACACCCTTTTTCGTGGCTATGATTTGTCGTTTGCATATTCATTTGAAAATCATTTCTCCATATCGAATTTTTAATTTGTTTGATTTGACATTCTTTCCCTTATCGGCAGCCTATTAGTTTTTCTGCATTATTGCGGCACTCAAAGTCGTCTTTAAATGCATTCCAAAGTAATTTGGAAGTGTCAGACTTCTTCCTTGAGTCCTCAGCGTACGTAATTATTTAGACGCACAATCGCTGCTTTTCAAGCAGAGGTCAAAATGTGTAAGTACTGCCAACTTGGTGACAACTGCCGGCTTGCATTGTAGGTGATTCACGGCCGACAGTGTATCGGATAATTCTGGTTGTTGGCCTGTCGGTCTGTGTCATACCTTCAACTTGCACCAGCCTTTTCTTTCTGGCTTTAAAGTCCAGAAAGTAAGACCTTCACATTCGTGGCGATCGACGGAACTGTGGTACAGGCTAGCTTTCCGGTCTCACTCAACCTTTGAGTAGGATCACAATCACGTTATATCACAATCCGTGATATAAAGTTGAAAAGAAAAGCTTCTGAAACGATGTAAAAAATTTCACCATATCGTAATATAGCCTTGGTCGTATTCAGTTATGTCAAAAAACACCACTGTCACGTTGTTGGCGTACCAATAGCCTACTTATTTTGCCGTTTTTGCCAGAGTCTTTTTTATTGTCCGTCACCTTTTGCCATGCAGGATGGCTCTCGGCTGGGCAGTAGAAAAGGCACCGTCTTCTCGATTTTCATTTCGCACAGTGACCAAACATCCCGGTCATTATCATTGTACTGGTACTTGGTACAACTGATCACACCGGCCTCGATTGTGTCCTTATCTATACGCCGAAACGTGTGACAATCTGTGGTGGCAGATCTGGAAGGCACAATACTGAAGGACGAAGAACCACTTTGATGCCATTGTGAACTGTGTCAAATCAGGTTTTGAGTTAGTCTACAATTTGGCGCCCCCAGGTTGGCTGTGGCACTAACTCGAGAGCGACAACTCTGAACTTAAGAGGTAGATGACGAAGAACCCCCTAAGTCGTCTTTACTCTATGACCTTGGATATCATCGCGCTGTTGTCGCAGCTTGTTCATGCAAAACTCATCAACAACTTTCCTATATAAGCGCCACACTGGTCTTCTAAAAATGGCCTTCAATGCAGCACTGTTTTGCTACCTTGATCTAATATATGGCCCATTCATCGTCTAACGCCCTATACTTAAAAAATCCGATACTTTCTTGCGCACGTTATACGGGGTCGAAAGTTTTGCAATTTACGCGCAACTTGGCCGTGCCCCATCTAAGGAGCAGAGTCTAGGCTGCTTTTTGTCATCCATTCTTAAAAACCGACAGTAGAGAGCCTCCTTTGAGGTTCCTGACCAATCATAGTTATTTCGCATCCAGTAAAATACCTTCGTCGTAGATGTACATTCCGATATTTGTTGTTTTCCCACTCTCTCCCCTATTTTCTGAACTTCCGAAAGCACTTTACATCCTCTTTTTTTTCTGTTTAAGATTGTCATTGGTCTTTTATTATGCGTTTGCAGTCGAATCATGCCATCGTTTTTTCTAGTTTACCACATATTTGTGTCAGTCATTGTGCCCTTTACTGCACAGGCATACGCCCTTGATTTAGATGTCGAGCATGTGCATCAAGCACTTTGATGTAGTGTCCGGTCGCTATGCGATCTTGAAACAAAATCTTAGTGTTGAAATTTTTGCAAGATGCTGCTTCTCCCGGTTAAGCTGTGTCCAGCAATCACCCTTACCAATGACATTACTAATAATTAGTTCTATTTGCTTACATTTGCCAATGTAGTCGAAAAGAGACGTGCAACCTCCAGCTGTTTGCTCTATTTTCTCACGAATAGAAACGAATATTCTAGCCTCAGGTTCTTGATGCAAGGAAGGTGAACACCTGGTCACTGGGACAGTATGTGCATTTGTCTTCGTTTTCGTCCTCGTACAGAAGGCCACCATCAGAGACGCCAAGCACACAGCAAAAAATGAGTGGCTTTTGTGGTCCAGTAAGGAACAGTAACCACTCTCTCTCCACCCCCACCCCCCTTCCCTTTTGTTGGACTACAAAAACCGTGCATTTGTTGTTGCATGCTCATTGTCTCTTGTGATAGCCTGCTGTACGCGGCCGAAAGCTCGGACAAATACACGTACTGTCCCTGTGATAGCAACCTTATTTTTGTCTCCAGCTGGTGGAAGCGTTTGGCATTCTCTAGAAATGTTACTCCCACAATCAGAAAGACTTGAGTACTTTAACTGTGGTTGTTTCACAATAGCCCTTAAGGGCGCCGGAAAGCTGCCGCCTCCGTATAACTGTTACATTGCTTGAGTTGGCAGCTTCTTTGTCAGAAAAGTTTTATGACAGAATTAAATCGTAAGTTTTTTTTAAATTTCCTCGACTACTAGACACACAGGATGGTTGCTGGTTTTGCTTAGGCAACCCACAAGTTGCCAAGCATCTAGTAGTCACTATCGCAACTCAAGCCTACCTGGCAATGCCTCGGGGTCCCTTAGTGAAAGATCACCTACTCATCCTCACAGTGGGCCACTATCAGAACTGGATGGCCTGTCCTGTATCTGTGCGTAAGGACATTGACGCCTACAAGACAAGTCTACGTGCCATGTACAAGGCGGAGGGAAAAGCGATGGTTGCCTTTGAGCGAAACTTCAAGACGCACCACTACCAACTTCAGGTAGGGTGCACTTTTATACCTGGCTT